AAAAAAATATTTTCTACACTTATCGGGTACCCAATATATGCCCGATATTAGGGACACACCATGCACATATCGGGTACCTGATATGTGTATGTTTTATCAATTTTTGACCAGTGTCTGATGATAAATGAGATTCCATTAAAGAAATACATAAATTATTAATGATATGTAATTTATTTAATTTATTGAAATATTTTTTAATATATAACTTAGATATTAATATTATTTATTTTCTATGTAGCCTTTCAAATAAGCCTCTAATTATATTACTGATCAAAAATATCCTACTTTATCTTTTTCTGTACCTGTCTATAATTATTTATTGAATAGATTGGAAGAAGAAATTGATAATAATTCAAATCTTATAATTAAAAGAGTAATAAGATCTGCAGAAAAAAAAATTAAATCATATTATTCTACTACTGATGGTAATGTGTATATAGTTGCTATAGGTAAATATATTTTATTTGTACATTTACATTTTTAATTTTATTAATTACTTATTATTTACTTATTATTAATATTTTGCTATTCATTAAAGTTCTAGATTCTAGATTAAAACTACAATATTATCATGATAAGGAATGAAAATAATTTTATATTAATGCTGCAAAAAGAACTGTAACCAATATTTGAGAAAATTATCATAAAAACAACAATAAAATTATAGTTAAACCAAATAAAGCAGATGAACTTCTTGCTCATGTTTTCAAAAAATAAAAAATAGAATCAAATGATGAATTAAAAAAAATTTTTAAAGGAAGGAGTTATATCTTTTACAACAGATGTATTATCATAGTGAAAAGTATATTTATTAAATTAATTATTAATTAAATTTATGCAATATATTATTTTTTATTAATTTTATATTATATTATTTCAGTTATAAAATATAATTTCCTTATCTTAGTAAAATGACTAAAGATTATTTAGCTATTCCTGCTACTAATGTACTTGTAGAAAGAATTTTTTCTGGAGGAACAGATTTGGTTGTTCAAAGAAGATGTAGTTTAAAAGGAGAAACAATTCATGATTTTGAAGAAATTAATATAGAAAATTTAGAAAATTAATTTTAATTTTTTTTTTTCAAATATAAAAAAGTACAAAAAATTAAATATGATGATTTTTTTATTATTATATTCTATATAACATTAAATATAATATATTTATTATATAAATTTTATATATTTTTATTAATTTTCAAAAATAATAATAAAAATTTAATTCTTTTGATTTTATAATTTTTGTTTAGTTTTTTATTTATTAAATATATTAAAATTTGTAAATTCACATTAAAACTTATAAAGTTTATATTAAAATTTAAGAGTTTTTATCAAGGTTTATGAGTTCATATTTAAACTATATCAAGGTAAATTTATATTAAGACTTGAGAGCTTATATTAAGGCTTGAGAATCTATATTAAGACTTGTGAATCCATGTTAAGGCTCAAGAACCCATGTTAAGGCTCGAGAATTCATATTAAGGTTTGAAAACTCAAGAGTCAAGCCAAGTTCAAATTATATAGGCTTGACTCAGCTTGAGTTCAATTTTTAAACTTAGGCTCGACCTAAGTCCAAGTTTTTTGAGCTTAACTGGGCTTGACCGGACTTGGCCTATGGAAAGCTTTACTCATTAGTTTGAGGATGATAAGTAGTAGATATTACAGTTTGAGTTTTAATCTTTTTAAATAAATATTTTTAAAATTTACTGGTGAATTTTGAATTACAATTGAAAATAATCATTTTAGGAAGACTATGATTTTTGAAAATAGTTGTAAAAAGATATTGGTGATATTAATAGTAGTTGCATCAATATTATACGTGTTGCCCAAATCCCAAATCATTTGGGATTTGGGACGCCAAAATCCCAAATTACTAGTATTTGGGATTTGGGATTTGGGATTTCGGCAAAAAATACTAATCATAATTTGGGATTTGGGATTTGGGATTTCGGCATTTGGGATTTCGGCATTTGGATTTTGAATTTGGGTGGCAGGTATAATCAATATAAGTTAAATAAAAATATACTTTTTTAAATAATTTTTTTACAAAAGTAATAATAACATCATATCCTATTTTTATTTTTGATAATCGAGTAACAAGATCTATTGTAATATGGTTCTAACATTTTGTAGATATTTGTAAGGGTTGAAGAAGTCCAACAGGTATTAGATTAGATAATTTCATTTATTGACAAGAATTGTAACTATTGATATATCTTTTTATATACTTATTTAATTTAGACCAAAAATAATTTCAAGAGATTTTTTCATGAGTTTTATTTATATTTAAATATTCTAAGATTTCAATATTATAAGTCTCATGTAATAATATTAAAAAATTTTTGGAGACAAAAATATTTGGATATATTTGAACTATATTATATTTAGATATATTTAACTACCCACACATTTATCCATATTAAAAAATAAATATATTTGTATATATTCAAATTTATTCAGATAATTATTTGAATTTATTTGAATTTATGTAATTATATTCACATATATTCACATATTTTATAAATTTATTCAAATAATTTTTTGAATTTATTTAAATTTATGTAAATATATTTGTATACATAGGCAAACTTGATAAGTCATCCACTAATAACTGAACTCTTGTGACTAAGTTATCGAGATGACTATATTATCAAAATTCTTGATAAGTCAGCTGACCAAGTTATCAAGATTTATTATATTAGGAATTATATAAAAGTGTTCTAATAACTTCACGAATATCGATGTTATTAAAATGAAACACATATTATTTTGTAATCAAGAACAAAGCCTTTCTTTCTATCTTAGAAATATCTTAGTAGAAAATCATTCTATTCTTTATAAATCATGAACGAAGCTAAAAAAATGTGAAAATCTCCAGAAATTTTTACTTTTTTTTTAAATTCACTCATAATTTATAAAGAGAAGAATGATTTTTACTAAGATATTTCTAAGATAGAGAGAAAGGCCTTGTTCTTAGTTACAAAACGATATGTTTTTTATTCTGATAGCCTCAATATTCACAGAGTTATTCTAAATTAAAGAAAAACGTGTGTAAAAAATCATATAAAAAATTTTGATGCACGATTTTTTTACTAATGTTTTATTTAGAATAACTCTGTGATTATCGAAGCTATCAGAATAAAATACATATCATTTTGTAGTCAAGAACAAGGCCTTTCTTTTTATCTTAGAAATACCTTAGTAAAAAATCATTCTACTTTTTATAAATTACGAGTAAAGTGAAGATTTTTACATTTTTTTAGTTTACTCGTAATTTATAAAGAGTAAAATGATTTTCTACTAAGGTATTTCTAAGATAAAAAGAAAAACCTTATTTTTGGCTACAAAATGATATATGTTTTATTTTGATAATATTGATATTCGTAAAGTTATTATGTTGTAGAACGGATTGTTTTAGAATATAACATTTGTAACATTTAAAACAAATCATTTTAGAATGTCTTTATATAATTCCTGATATAATTAATAAGTCAATTGATCAATTTATTAAAAGTTATATAAATTGATATAATATTATTAAAAATTAAAATTTTATTTAATTTTATTGTAATCAAACCATAAGAATATTATTTTTATTAAATGATTACATTAAAAAAAATTAAAAAAATTCATCTAAACTTAATTGTTTTGATAATGAAATTTGATTTAAATAAATTTGATACTGTAAATTTTTAAATCTACTATAAATGAATATTTAATATTTAAATTTTGTTATTGTTGTAAATAATTATATATATTTTCAATACTTTCTAATACTGTTTTATGTAAAATTGATAAAATTATATCATTAATTTCTTCTTCAACTTCAGGTACTTCAAGAATACTTGAAATAATTTCATTATCATTAGGAATTCCTGTTGTTTTTAAACTAGAATCAATATTAATATAATCTTTAACTATAATATTGTTTGTATATTTATCTATTTAATTAGTTAATAATTGTAATAATCTTTTTATATTTTCATTTGTATTATTATCTATTTTGTTTTCAAATTTATCTAAATTTTCTTTTGGTAATATATCTGTTCTTGCCTAACTTTGATAAATAATATCATCAGTTACATTATTCCACACTTCTGTAACCTAAGTTATTGCATTAAATATATTTAAAAAAAGAATTTCAGTATCAAAATCATTATATACATTAAATGTATTAATTCTATCTTTACAAAATAATTTTTGATAATAAGTCTAATAAATAAAAATAATTAATTAATTTATTTGAAAAATTAATATAAATACAAAATTTTAATAATCAATATATATTTTGAATGAATAAATAATGTCTTGATCAATTGGTTAAATATGTGAAGTTATATTTAGTGAAAGAAAATATAAAGTAATATTACTTAATATTTCATTTTCTTCTAATTTATAAAATGATTAAAGATAGTATCTACAATTATGAATTGAAGATTATGGTATTACTACCTGTATCATAATTATTGAGGATTTTAATAATAAAAAACTGCAATTCTGCAATTTACAATTACCTGTAATTCATTAATTATTTTATAATTTTTCAATTATTTCGTAATTCTTCAATTATTTTGCAATTCCTCAATTATTTTTCAATTCCTCAATTATTCTACAATTCTGTAATTATTCTGCAATTCATTAATTATTCTGCAATTCCTTAATTATTTTGCAATTTACAATTTCATAATTATACTGCAAGTCTGTAATTATTTCACAAGTCTGGAGAAGGGTACCACACAAAGATAGGAAGAGAAAGGGAAGAGAGTGAAAGAGAAAGGAAAGAGAGAGAGAGAAAGGGAAGAGAGAGTAAAGAGAGAAAGAGAGAAAGGGAAGAGAGGGAGAGAAGAAAAAAACCTTTAATTGTATATTCGCGAAGTCAATTTTAACAATTTTAATTTTTATAGGTATTTCCACAAACCAGTGAAAGGTAAAGAGAAGAAGGGTAAAAGAAAAGACAAGGTAAATATAAGATTTTATTTTTTTTAATAAAAAAAAAAAAGAAAAAAAACTTACCTTTAATTGTATATCCATGAAGTCAATTTTGACGATTTCGACTTCCATAGATGTTTCCATGAACCAGTAAAAGTTGGAGAGCAAAAAGGTAAAAGCAAGAACAAGATAAGTATAAGGTTTTATTTTTTTTTAAAAAAAAATAAAAGAAAAAAAACTTACCTTTAATTATATATTTGTAAAGTTGATTTTGACAATTTTGACTTCTACAGGTATTTCTACGAACTAGTGAAAGTTGAAAAAAAGAAAGGTAAAGACAAAGAAAAGATAAATATAAGGTTTTATTATTATTTTTTTTTTAAAAAAAAAAGAAAAAAATTTCACCTTTAACTGTACATAATTTTGATGATTTCGATCTTCACAGGTATTTCCATAAACTAGCGAAAGGTGAGAAGAAGAAGGATAAAAGCAAGGACAAGATAAGTATAGTTTTTTTTTTAAAAAAAAAATTTAATTATCAAGTTATGCAAACTTGCAAGAATTACGAAATGATTGAGGAATTATAAAACAATTGAGAAATTGCAGAACAATTGAAGAATTGCAAAACAATTGAGGAATTGCGAAACAATTGAAGATATATAGATTAATTGAGGATATATAGATTTTTATCACAATTCCATCTAAAAAATCTACAATATTAAGTATTTGAAAAAATAATTGAAAATATCTGTAACAGAAAGTAATTTATTAATCAAACAAGAGAGTATATATTTTGGTTAAATTGATATACCTAAAAAGTTTTTCAATATTTTACTATTTTTTTTTATTATAAAAAACTTATAGAACACTAAAAGATAACTATGTTTTACTACACTCCACAACTGCTTCACATTTACTAAAAGGTTCATGCTTATAGCAATAGAATGCTAATTAGTAACCAAATACAATAACTATGCTTTGTTACACTTTGCATCTGAAGTTGTTATACTCTTCTGTAACAGAAAGCAATTTAGTAATCAAATAAGAAGGCATATATTTTGATTAAATTGATATATTTTTGATTAAAAAAATTGATTTATATATCCTTATATGTCTATAAAAATTAATTAACTTTAATCAAAAATATACTAAAATTGTTCTAAAAAGTTCACTTATTATTTACTTATCCTGTTCACAGGTTATGATATACAATTATTAATATATATTTTGATATTGTGATCAAAAATCATGAATTCATATTATGCCTACATGTTATGGTTTACAAATTATACATAAGTTCTTGAATTTGAAAATAGCCAAATCTACAAATATATATCCTGTCTACAGGTTATAATATATATCCAAGTCAAATAATTTAAATTTTATAATTGACCCATCAAACTCACAATAAAGCCAGCTTGTCTCCAAGTTACATTAGTCAAATACAAAAGAATCACTGTACTAAATGGTGATTCCTATTTAAAAATCAGAATTTCTATATTATAGCTTAGCTAAAAATCAATAAAAAATTAACTGTTTTGTTGTATCCTATATTCTAAATCAACTAAAATCAAAATTCTTTTTCAGTATGATATATCTTTTGTATTTGACCTGTGTTATATCATATACACAAGTCAAATAACTTGAATTTTGCAATTGACTTGTTACTTGAATAACTTAGATTTTGTGATCCACCCACTACTCAAATAACTTGAGTTTTGTAATTCACCTATTATAATCTAAACTAAGATGTTACAATATAATTATGTTGTGACATCTGAATAGTGATAGAGGTAAAGGTAAAAGTGGAATTAACATTTTTAGAAGTTAATTTAAAAAAAATATATCATAAAGGTAAGTACTAGTAATTTTATAAAAGTTTGAAATTGTATATACTTTCTTTTTCACCTCAAAAATATTCTTCTTTTATTAACAAACTTTCTAGTTTAATATTATCATCTAAATAAAGTAATTTACATCAAAATAAATATTAATTAAATAAAAACAATTTCAGAATTATTATTAATTATTATTATATTATTATTTGTATTATTAACAATTTGCACAAAAAACAAATATCTTGAATTTCAGATTATTATTATTTGCATGACATAATAATAACTGTATATTTCTTTTGTTCTGATATTCACCTAAATAAAGTAGTTTAAATAAAAACTGGATATCTTGAATTTCAGGATTGCATGATTTATTGTAATTTATCAATATATTAAGTTACATTATGTATTCTTTTATTTTGATAATTATTTTACAAACTTATTAAATTGGATTTCTTTTAAAAAACAAGAAAATATTGAAATGAATGAAATCTTTAAATTTTATATAGCACAGATACTGATACACGGAAACTGGATATATGACAATCTAGAAATACTCAACAGAAATTATATCAAACAACAATAGATATAATAATTTCTTGAATAAAATTATTTACACTAACATTTAACATATTTTAAAAGGATTTTATTATCTAGAGAAATAATACTTAGTATGCCATCCAGTGACACGAATCGGATCCCTGGTTGATCCAAACCCACTAACACACTATACACAGTAAATATGTAATGTTTTAAAAACGTTTTGATTGCTTTACCTTTTTTCATTTATTAAAAATCCATTTTTACTCTTTTTGGTAGATTACATTTGATAAAATTAATTTCCTAATTACTGAAATGCCGAATTACTATTCTTTTATTCTAATTGTGTAATGAGTATATAATAATAAATATTTTGTTATCTCATTGAATTCACTTTAAGAATTTAATAAAGAGGCCTTATAACCATTGTTTCCGGCATAATGATATGTTGTCAAATGCCGAATTTTTTAGATTAATGAATCTTATTTTTTTTCCCTTTTTTACAGTTTTAAAGAAAGTGATTATCTACTCATCTACTCTTCACCTTTTTGACAAAAGGCTAATCATATCAATTATTATTTATTATTTAATTATTTATTATTTAACAATCATTATTTATGATTTAATAATTATTATTTTTTATTATTTAATTATTATTTAATTATCATCATCATCATCTTATTATTATTATTACTATTATTATTATTATTATTTATTCTTTTAATTTCGTTATAAATCATCATCACGAGATTTTCAACTATATCTGATTCAATAATAAACAATTACATAATTGATGTGATTTTGTGTTTAAAAAGAATTCTAGAATTTTTTGCAAAAAAAAAAAACGAATTCCATTTTTTTGAAACATCTTTGCGGGGAAGGGGAAGTGAAATGCGTTGCGTATCTACGTATTAATACGTATTGTATGTATTTGTATGTACTTTTTTTGTTTACTTTTGTACGTCATTTACATATTTACATATTTACATATCTGCATACGGTTATCATGTACGTATATGATGTGAATAAAAAAAAAAGATGATTCTTTGAATATTATTATTAACATGAACAAGGTGATGATGGTATCGTTTGATTATTTTATTGTTTGTAAATTAGTACGTTTTTACTACTTTTAAAAAGAATCGTATCAAGCTTTACTGATAACGAGAAAAAAAAAATATATGTATAATTCACCCTCAAATGCACGCATAAATTCAATAAATCTTAGGACGAGGAGATCGTTCGATTTTCTTGTGTTTTTTTTTTTAAATTACTACACATCATCATGACCAATTGTTTTTGACTATGGAATAATACCGTTTTTCTATATATAGTAATCAATAGTATAAAGAATATAAATAATTATGCAATAAAGATAATAATAATGATAATTCTTTTTTAGTAATTTTATTATTTTTTTTTCGTGTTCCATAAAAATAATAATAATAATATTATTGTTTATGTATTATCATCAGCAGTTAAAGGAAAAAAAATTAAATAAATAAATAAACTAAAATGTTCTTTACACGTGTGTATAAATAATAAATAATAAATAAATATTAACCCAATTTTAAGAGTCACTCCCTTAACCCTTTTTTCCTTTCCTTTCCTCTTTTGCCTAATAATAATCTGCAGGAATCTAAAAGTGGGAGGAGGAGGTTCCTTGATAATTCTACTAACTTACTTATGATGATATTAATTTGACTAATTCAACCAACCACAACCATCGTTACATTTTACTACTACATAAATACTAATTAAAATATTAATAAGGGATTATTTTAATACAAAGATAATAATAATACAAAGGTGATAATATAAAGATGATAATCTTAAATTCTCGGAATATTAAATATTATATTCTGTGCAAAATATATCAGATATAAATCAATATAAATCAATATAAATCAAATGAAAGAAGTGGAATGGAAAACACAAACACCAACCGCCAACGAGAAAAAACTTAAAAAGACAATATGCAAAAAAAAAGTGAGTAAAAGATCAACGAAGTGAGAAAACGAATCTATCAATAAAATAATATTACGTCTTTACCATTTATACCTTCAGTATCAAATAAACAAATCAATAAATATTACAGATAAATATAGTAAATGTAGTAAAAAATGTCTGATTTATCATAATATTCTTTATGATTTATGTGATTGATGTGATTGGTGCGAATACAAAAACAAAAACAAAAACAAATAATGGTAATTTTCGAAATTCTAATTCTCGACGTATATATATACCTTAAATTAATGATGATAATGTTTATGGCGAGAGATTACTAACTAATTGCTTGCTTTAACACCTACTTGCTGCTAACCATTTCTTTACTAGTTCTTTGATCACGAGATGAATCACAAAATGAATCACAGATGAATTTTATAGGATTAAAAATCAACTGATGAACGCACCAAATATGGAATATTCTTGTTGATGATGTATATGTGTATATATAATATATAATATGTATGTGTGTGTCAGAAATGTTCGTATGACCCTTTTTTATTCCAAATTTTGATTAGCTTTATGGGTCAATTTAAATGCAATTTATGCAATTTATGGTAAAATATGTATATAAATAATATAACTGTACTATTTTTAGATCGTACACGTGAAAACTTCATATAAATATTATTGAAATACTTTCTTTTTTCTTTCTTCCTTTATTCAATAAACATAAATAAATAAATAAAATAGAATTACAATGAAATAGAAATGATAAATAAATATTAACATATATCAAACATCAACAATAAATAAAATAAATATAATAGAAACTTTAATCAATCAATCAATCAATCAATCAATAGTTGCTAAACGTGTGTGTGTGTGAGAATTACTGCGAATTTACTGCGAATTTTAATAAAGTGTGAAATTGGGGGTGTGTGTGAATAATTGATTAAAAATAGAATTTACTAAAAATAACTTTTTTCCGAAATCCCGAAACCCTGAAAATCTCAGATGCCTTATGCTTTTCTATATTTTATTATTATTTTATTATTATTATTTTATTATTATTATTATTATTATTATTACCCACAACAATAATTCATTCATTCATCAAATTCATGTATAGATAGCATAAATATAATAGAGTATATAATAGAGTATATAATAGTATTTATATACGGATTATAATATCCCTATAACAAGTATATCAAGTATGTAAGTATGTCAAGTATTTAAAGTATGTACATTTAAAAGTAGATCAAAGTATATTAAAGTATATCACTCAAATACAACATATAAATAACACAAAATACACAACTACAACATATAAATAAATGTATAAATACATAAAAAATAGAAATAAATATATAAATATATATTCATAACTCAAACTAGCCTCAAAATTACAAAATTATAAAAATTGATAAGGACACCGCTATTTATAAACTCCATCAATTTACTCTGCGTCCAGTTTTGTTGCTATTCTTAAAAATCCTTTTTATTATTATCTCTGTTATTATTTCTGCTATTATTACTGTTATTAACTGTTATTAACTGTTATTACTGTTATTACTGTATTATCATTTTTTTTTACTACTGCTCCTCAAAACTCTATATACAAACTCTACTATACTATACAAAGCTATACAAAGCTATACAAAACTATACAAAATTATAATTTTTTTTGTTAGGTAAGATATTATTCACAAAAATTATTAAAAAAAAATAATAATATCTAAAGTAAGAACTTTGTGTGTGTGTGTGTAAGAACGTTTATACTAGTAATAGTTTTTTTTATTAGTTTTTATTTAGTTTTTATTCATAGAAACAAATAATAACAACTATACATATTAAACATATTAAGATTTTTTTTTTTTTTTTTTTTTTTTGAGATAAAAAAAGAAACAAAACAAAACTTCGTCTTCAAAAAAAAAAAAAATATTCCCAAACTTTTTACTTATAATTACTATTATTTTTTTTTCTATTATTCAAAAGTAATTACTTTTAACCTTTTCTCGACCTTTCGTTGTCTTCGTCCAAATTAACACACGTATCAACCACCAACACCAACACTAAAATAACAATAGCACCAACGATAACACCAACAATTATCAGTTCAACACCAAATAAGAACTAACATTAACAACACCAACACTAACACTAACAGGAACTAACGCCAACACTTTCACACGTTTGTTTATGTAAGTAAATTGTTTTTAAAAAAAATAAATGAATATAATTTGAAAACTACTATTTCTAATATTCATTTTTTTTATTTTTTAATTATAATAATAATTTATAATTAATAGAATAATCCAAGGTAATTATTACAACTCAATTCTATTTAAATTACCATAATTACACTTTTAAATGAATTAATTCAATTTTAATCTATTCAAAAATTTTATTGATATCTTCCAAAACATATTCGTTCAATTTTATTATTATAAAATAATAGTAATAGTAATAAATTAAAATATAATAATAAACACAATGGGTCGTAAGAAGATTCAAATTAAACCAATCAAAGATGAAAGAAACCGTCAAGTAAGTTTTTAAATTTATTTTTATTTATTCAATTTTATGTTTTTTTTTCGATCTAATTAATTATTCGTTCTAGAAGATATTATTGTTATTTAATAACATATATATATAGTAAAATTATTGAATTAATAATAAAAATAATAAAATCATGATTAATTTAAAATATAATATAATTTATTTATTTATTTATCATTCAATCACGATAATTATATATTTATAATCATATATTATTTATTATGTATTTTTTTATTATTATTAAGGTCACATTTTTGAAACGAAAGTATGGACTTATGAAAAAGGCCTACGAACTTAGTGTACTATGTGATTGCGAAATTGCATTAATTATTTTTAATTCGAATAATAAACTTGTACAATACGCGAGTACAGATATTGATAAGATTTTATTAAAATATACTGAGGTATTTTTTTTTTATAAGAATTATTTATATTGGATATGAATTATTTATTTATTTTGTTAATTTTTCAAATTTGAATATTTTAGTACAGCGAACCTCATGAAAGTAAAGGGAATCATGATGTAAGAATCTATATTTTTAAATCTATATTCAAAATCCATTCAAAATTTATTCAAAAATTTATTCAAAAATTTATTCAATATTTATTCAAAAATTTATTCAAAATTTATTCAAAAATTTATTCAAAATTTATTCAAAAATTTATTCAAAATTTATTC